TTTAAACTTTGCTCCGAAAGTGTCGTGATATTTCACGACAGAGCTCTTTTATTTGCTAAAAGTTATTTGATATTTTCTTTTGTTTCATTTATATGCTTCGCAACACCCTTTGTTGCTTTGCAACACTGGTATTGTCAAATTAGCTGTTAATATTAAAATTAAAACTTTTTTCCCTTATTATAATGTATTTCGAAGAAAAAGTTAATTATTTTTTTTTGTTTGTTTAGGTAAATTTACATTACTTATTTTTGGTACTTTAAAAAAATACTTATAGGAGAAAACTTATTTCGGTGACTGACAAGCCTAAAACCAAGGCTTGTATGTGTCATTTTTAAATGGGGCAGGACACAGCTGATGAAAGGTTGAACTAATGTACAGAATGGTTTTACACTTGAAAGAAATCTGCAGTTGTGTTTTGGACAAAAAGAAGAAGTAAAAGCCATGAAGGCTCAGTTAATTTTTGGTCTTTTCCATGTGTAAACTCGGACAAGGCCACAAATAAATAGATATTAAAAGAAAAAAAACAAATTTATTCCTTTCTCTTTCCTTATTGATCGATAACTCTTCACGGTGACTCTCCTGATCGGTCTGTCACCGAAATTTACTGCCGCGCGGGTCTCCATATTGAATAACAAGACGTTTGTTTTGAGATCGACAATACAACACGCGAATAAGACCTCAAACTTGGGTAATTAAACCTTTTTATATAATAGACAAGAACAACATATAAAAAACAGCAAGTCCTCAATATATACAAAACTAGTAACAAAATCAACATAAAAAAAACCAACATAAAACAAAAAGGCATCACTGCTTTATTGCTTCTGTTGTCGAGTGTGGACCTTCTTATACAGTCTGTTCCAGCAGGTTATCATCCTCTGTTTTATATTCTTTCTCGATGGGTTTGAAGCTAACGATGTCGGGGCCAGATTCGCTCTTTCTGTTCCTTCCTGATAATTCTTATCAGTTGCTTCCGGGGTTTCCGGAAGTGTCTTATCTTCGCCTTTCGACGGCAGATGTTTTGAAGTAACGTTGAGAAAGCAGATACAAATAACAGGTATTTCACTTTTGTCTACAAGTGTAATAAATAGGCCCTACTCTATTATAACAAAAACAGATACGTAAAAATATTAGTGATTTATATTTTAATGTCAAGAATGCCTTCGATGCATTAGATAAAATTTCTTTCAAACCTTTTGAAAAAATCGTCGTTCCTCGGAACCTCTTCTTTACGCTAGCTGTTTCACTGTTTCTTATTTTTAAATCAGGTTTAAAAAAGGAAAGGTTACGAGAAATTCAGAAAAAAGCTTTCAGTTCACTAGTTATTGAAGAAGACTAAAATTTGAGAACATCAGTTTATTAACATACCAACATAGTTGCACAAATTGTACGATTGATAAAAAAATGTCAATTCGTCTAATTAAATAGTTTAAGACTATTGCTTTTTTTTTTACTGCAAAAAATACTGGTTTTTAAAGCGCAAAAATGCAGTTTCGCGAATTATAACCGGCTGAAATTACTGAGCAGTAGAAATTGATGTAAGGTGAAAAACTGCTGTACTGTATTTGGATTTTATAGAATTATTATACCCGAACTCTCACTTACAACTATTTAAGCGCTTGTTGACAGAAGCTACTAGCGGTAGTATCTTAGAACGAATTAAAGGTTAAATAACCTGCAGAAAACTTATACAATGATTACAAACAAATAACAGTTAACCAGTTGTTCAGTTCCCAGAAAATACTGCAAGAGAATAATACTGAACAACCATTATTTATTAATTCAAAAAGTGAAGTGTCACTGATAGTGAGATGTTGTCGCAACTGCTCGCGAAAGGCACCGTAAGGAAATTAAGGTCACTGTAGCTCCTTAAGGAGAAGCACCTGGGAAGGATGCAGACTGACCGTCTGAGAGGACTGAAGCGAGGTATGAAGAGGGCAGTAATTAGGATACAGTTTAGTGTTGCCATTATTAGAGTTCAAATCGTGTTTCCGGTCGATACTGATTGCTCATCTGCGACTGTCTATCTCAGTTCACACTGATATCTTCTGTTAATACGTGCCTCGTCGGCAGCTTTTGATCTGTCTTATTGGTCTTAAGTTGTTCTCACTTGTAATTTGTATTTCTCTTTTTAGTATATTACTGAGTGTGATCACTGTCAACCCGAATTTATATTTGTAAAATATAAAGGTGAAGTAAGAATATAAGAGTTTAACTGTAAGAAAGGGCTCCAGCATAGTAAGAAGGTATTACTCAAGAGGTACATAAATCGTCAAGCCGTAGGAGATCAGAGACACAGAAATCGAGGGTCTCAAATCAGTGAAGGTTACAGTCTGCTGGTTGGTACCGTGGCGAGTGAGGGCTAAATTACGACCCACAGTGGGGATATCAGATTACTAGAAAGGCCCTCATTGAGAGTGTCGGAGAGTCACTACCGTAGTAATTTTTCAATTTAGAAAGGTGTCCGTTAGCCAAGGCAGATGTAATCAACTATTTCTTTCAGTTATTTCTTTGTTATTTCAACCAAAAATCTATAAAAAGATCTAAAAAAAACCTCTCTGTTTCTTCCTTGCAACTTATTTTAATTTACTTTTAACAAAGTCATTTAAGCAATTTAAGATCCTCCAACTTTTGAAATGTATTAGCTACTCAACGCATTATTTAAAGATATCCTGAGTCTCAAAACCTTCAGTAGTGCCCACATAAACCTGATAAGCAACAGTTTCCTGCTTTCGTCTTACTAAAAAAGAACTTACCTCCACAAAAAATAAGCAAACTATGAATTTAAAAACCCTCTAAATCTTTTGCACAAAAATTTTTTGATAGTTGAAGCCGTCAAGCGCTTTGTCCCTGCCTTTCCCAACACTTTCAAAATGCTTTAAGGTTAAGAATTGGATGACGACGCCTCAAAGAAAAAAGAGCACTTGATATAACTTTATCTCAATTTAGAAGACGCCAAAGCTGTTTAGAACCCTACAGTCAGGGTCCAATTTGTAATCATATAAAACCTGCTCTATTCCAAACTTCCAAAGAGGCTGTACACTTTGACTAATTTAAAGTACAGTGTAAAGGTTTGACAAGCAAAAACTTTCCTCTGTCATCACTTCCACTTCCATTCAACAAGCTGGGCTTAATCAGTCCTCTTGCCACGGCTTCAGTTGTACATTGCAAATGCAAGAAAAAATGTATAAAACACAGAACTTAAAACCCAAAACGTTTGCAACGCTTTAGTGTCCTAATAGGCAAAAAACCAACAGATAAAAAAACCACTTAGAAATCAGAAAGAGTCAATATTGTTCCACCACTAGCCCTAAAAATATTTTCATATTTTATTCAACAAAGATTACAGTAACTAATGCCGTAAAAAAGAATAACACCAAATCATTGGAAAGTTGTTTTTAAGCACCGGCAAGAGAAGATGTTTGAGAAAGATAAACAATAAATCAATAAAACAAAATAAGGCATTTCAACGAAGTCGCTCAATAAGGATAATTTCAGTGGCAACATTCAACTTTTTTTACAAAAAACTAACTAGTAAACATTAATTAAATGACCTAATAGCAAATTATTAACAAAAACAATGTCAACAATGAAATCAAAAACCCGAATCTTTAAATCCCTGTAAGTAGCGTTTTTGAGCAACAACTTCGGACACCTTAACAGTGCATTTTAAACACTTTTACAGCTCCGTAATTTTGAAAAAATAGTGCAGCATACTATAAAAATTGGTAAAGGAGTACAGGAAATAATAATAATGTTGTTTCAGGAAATAAAAGGCTGCACTCAGATGAACTCAGAAACTCTATATCCCCGTACACGTAACTACAAGTCATAAACAAGAAAGTTCAACAGAACATTTGCCGAACAAAGTAAGAACAATTCCTAGCTATGAAAAAATTTCCTTTCTTTACGCAAAAAATGACGATTGTTCCAAGTTCTTAAATTTCTAGTTGATTTCCATGAATTGCCATCCAACTGCGAGAAAATAAAATACCAGTTCAAACTACTAAATAGAGCCTTATTTCAGTAAATCGGTACTGGGTGGAGCACTGCATGTAATTCTATCAGATCCCAAGTTCAAGAAGTTATATTCAATGAAAAAGACAGCTAAATTATGGTACTAATGTTCTTGAGCAAACTGGGAGAAATAGTTAAGGACATCTTGAATCGAAACTTCGAGATCAATCCGAGAATTCGGATAACACTGCCCAATCACTTCTTGATAGTGTTTTAACTGTTTAAGAAATTCGTCCTTAAAAAGTAATATAAAGCAGAAGTAACCTATGCATCGACTTCAAGGACTTACCTGCATATTTCTCCAAATTACTTGCAGCAACGGCGAGTTTTCTATTAAATGCTTTTCTATCTTTTTATATAATTGTTCTAATCCTTTTCTAACTTCCTTGCCAGGGTAAATAGAAATCACCTAAAGAAACACAGTGGAAGAATCTTCGTATTTCAAAACTAGAAATTATTTTTTCAAAATTTCACTACTTTTTTTAACTCTGATCGACTGAACTGCTGTTGAAACGCAATTTCCTCTGGCTTAACTCCTTGTTTTACTGCATTCTCCACGCCTTCGAAAAATGTCTAAAATTTTAATATGAGTTCCATACAAGTGCATGAGAAACTCAAATTTTGAAGAGTATGTTCTTTGAAGGCATAAAACAATGTGAAAATATGAAATTTCTTAACTTTAATATACTTTTACTTATAACAATTAAGGACGATTACAAGATGATTACGGTAGCAATCAAAACGAGATGTTTTTCTGTAAAAAAAAAAGTCAAATAACAAACATGAAGCTTCTCTAAAGGTCGTCCCATATAATCCCTGACGTACATTTGAATGCTTTCCTGGTAAGCTTTTTTTGCTTCCTTTCTTTGTGAATCCAAACATTCAATTTTTAGCTCAGACAAAATTGCTATAAAAAAGGCAGTTAGAATACTACTGTTTTACATCTTCTACCCCTATGCATCAAATAGTGTTAGTTGTAAAATCGCCACAACTGCTTACCTAAAAATAAACTGCCTACAATGCAGTAAGATCCTGACATTTAAAGACTTTAAATGAAAAGAATATAAGCTGAGAAACTAGAATCGTGTCATCCAAATAAAAAAAATTTTACAGTAGAGACGATGGTAATTTTCTATTCGAACTACTGAGGCGGGTGACTTAGAGTTAGGAGAAACAGCCGCTTTCTCAATGCCTTCTTTCAAAGAACTAATCAGCTGAAGATACCAACGATCCAAGTCTGCCCGCCGCTCGGTCTCAGAGAATGCCGCTTCAGCTGAAAGCGCCAAACTCTGAAAGAATGGGAAAATTTGTTGAGAGCTAAAGTTGCTGGTTGCGCTACAATACAACCCAATATTCTACAAACATCACATAATTGAGAAAATCAAAGATGACATTACATTGAAATGCTCCAAATTACTCAAGACACCAATTCGGGTTTTCTTGTAAAAGCGAACGTCCGAGAGGAAACGCGCTTCGTCATCCTGCAAATTCCAAAACAAATGCCACTATTAGCCACATAGCATATCTAAGGACAAAGAGCTTCCCAGTCAACGTATTAATTCGCATCTGTGTACGTTGAAGAATTTTTAAGAAAGAAATTAAATAACTCAAGAATAGAGGACCACTCTCTATTACCATGAAACTGTCAAGTTGCCGTTTCACCAATACCACCAAACGTCCAAATATCATTACTGAGAAATATGACGTACAGTCTTGAAATGAAAGTGCCTTTTTCGAAAGGAAAACAAATAGTGTAAAAACCATCCTGCAACAAGAATCCTTTCTAAAAAAAAAATTTCAGAGGTAATCGTTATTAACCGTAACTAGACCGTACATTGCATGCATTCTGCAACACTGCTTGATGAACTTATCCAGATGCTCGTGTAATGGTTCGAATAAAGGAGTCAAAACACTTTTCATCTGAAATATATTCTTCTGTAAATCGTTAAACTAGCACACATCATAAAACCCTTAACAAAATACTTCTTATTACACACGCCACTAAAATTAAAAACTAATCTACATCTAGTAAACTCCCCTTAACAACAGTCATAGAAATTAAAATCTAAAAAAATTAAAATTCTTATACCAACACTCCTCACTTAAAAGGCAATAAAGAAATGTAAAAGGAGGCAATAGTGAAACATTTTCCAATTAATATGCAGCACTGTCAATGTTTTGATTCGTCCACAAATCTGAAAACTACTTAGATCTACTTCATTCGGATTTTGGAAGATAAGAGAAATCAATTTGCCCAAATTCTCTTTTTAAAGACCTAATCATGAATAGACAATCCAGATGGTCTTTAGGATGATAATAATCGACAAAATAAAAGTTTGTAACAGAGATCCTGAATCCCCAACCATTGAAATATCTCACAAGTTTTTGAAAGTCAGCAGTTGTTTCAGAAAAACCTTTCTTCCCTTCACCTAAAGAGTTCAGTGCAAAGCCACTTAAAGTGTGAAGAAATTCTGCAAACTTAGCGGAGCAGCTTTGTACAGCCTTCTGAGAAAGCAAATGTTAATGAATGATAAGCCGCAATCCTGAAAAGCGGTTAAAGTTTCCTATTAGTATGACCGCAGCTTGGAGAAACCGAAAAAGTTTCATCAGCAAAAAGGCAGTAACACGTGATCGCAAGTGATCCCAAAGAAACCAAGCTATTCTAAGGAAGATTATTATCCCAGGCAACCAGAAAGCACTACCCTGAATTACACTTCACACAACAGTGACTTCTCCAGCTTACTAAACCTTCAGTCCACCCCTACCTTTCCAAGCCAACATAACCCTTCAAACTCCTGTTAAGCCCCTAAAATGGTGCTTTCTGACTGTATTCAACTGCCTCTTTATCAAACCTCACTTTGAACAGTTTAATTTCACTTCGTTTTTTTGACAGTTCTCTCATAAAAATAAGTAAAATTTTGAGAAATAATAAGCAGCTATAAATTCAAAAACCTAAAGAAACTATTCGGCTTAAATTCTAAGTCCTTGAAAACCCTTCTCAAGCAAAATTATTTAATTTGAGAGATCAAAGTCATAAAAAACATTGATTGGAAATGTTATAATACCAGTAAACAAATACTAGTACAGGTTTGCAGATTTGCTTCATATTTTTGAGTTCAGTACATTCTCACAATGGAATTTTTTACAAATTAATATGCTTTCAAACCAATAAAAATTATAGAAAAATACTTATAGAGACTCCCCTTGAGCATTAATAAAGAAAGAACAACATCAGAACCTAACCTTGTCAGCAATTTGCTTTTCAATAGCCTTCCCTGTTCCACCACTCTCCCCGCTCGAAGTTGACTGCGTTTCTATAGTAGTCAGAAGATCTCCACTGATATGGAAGAATCTGGAGCAGAACTTCTGCTCAGACTCCACGACAGAACTTATTTCACCTAATACAATTTCAACAATCTGAAACAAGACAAATCATGCAAGAAGAACGAAGCAATTGCTTGCCAACATAATTATATTGGTCGTGAAAAAAGAAGTCTTAAAATTTTTGATGTAGAACGCTAGACGAGAAACTTAGCATAAGTTAATTCAAATTATTATTTTAAAGCAATAACTAGCATGTCTGAAAAGCAAAATTTTCAGCACTTCAAAAAATCTCCATATTTATATGTAACACCTTCTGAAAAACAACTCACAACCATTTATCTATTTAATTACAGCAAAAAAAAAACAACTACTTACACTTAATACTGATTTAGAATCAATGCTGCTATCCGCATGGAAAGACAACTCTAAAGATGCCCTAGAAGTGTCGAGGCCTTTTGAAGTGCCACTTTTATCGCTGTTTACAAGTTTACTCAACTCGAGACTGATAACGTCAAAAAAACGGTCGAAGTCTTTTTTATATAAAATCTTTACATTTTGCACATATCTCTGAAAAAAGGCAAGAGAGAAATAAGTCTTCTGAAAAAAATATCCACAAGCACGAATAATGCTACAAATATGATAGTTCCAAAGGTTATTTACGAAACCAGCTAGCTTCTAACTGTGAAAGAAAAGATTATAAAAGTACACCTTTCTACATCACAAAATCAAAGTGAATATAGATGAAAAAACAGTCGGCAATCAATTACTTACAAGCCTTTAACCTCAAAAACTGACATAAGAAAATTTAGCAATTGAATATCGTTAAAAGACATGACTGTCAGACAAAACAGAGGACTCAGAATCCGATAAGGCAATACAAGGTTAAATTCTATGTAGTATAAATTTTCCAAATAACTCTTAACTGTAATACCTCTTTCAAAATACCTCTTTCCTTTACCAAACCTTTTTTTAAACTATGCAAATGCTTTGAAAAATCTTCTACTGAAAACTGGCTCTCAAAAACACTGTTCTAAAAATTTTAAATTTTAAGTGCTGCAAGACAGAATGTGGCAACAAAAAGAAAGGCATCTTTTGCCTACCATAAACAAACCTGCAAGTAAAAAGTTCCGAAACGCTCATTATATAATGAAACAAAAAGTGAACCAGCAATTGTGAAAATAATTATTACTTGAACAACAGTTTGGTAAACTGCAGGATTAGTTGCCTGAATCCATCCGACCAATTCTGAATAAGGCCGCAGCGCATGGAAACGTTCTGACTGTTTTCTTAATGCAACCTCATGCCATTCTTGAGTTTCCGACAACTCAGACTACAAAATATTCACAGATATGTCTACTGTATAACAGGAATTATGTCCCGACATCATCTTCAACGATATAATGAGAACTGGTAAGAAAAGTAAAGTATATGCCAACCAAATTAAGAAATAGACCCGAAAGATGAGCAGCGAGTTTTTCAGTAAATTGCTTAACAAGTTGTGTTAGCATTTCAGAACGTTCTTTGTAAGCGCGCATCAGACGCATAGGAGGAGGTAGCTTAGAAGAAAAAAAAGTTTGCACAGCGCGAGTGGCCGTACAGCATCGATTAATCCTGAAAAAAAAGCCATTAAAGTTGCAAAGGACAATGGAAACCTAAATAAGACCATTACCCTGTTGGATCAGAAAGATTTGCACTTTGCAAGGTCGAAATATGCTCATCAGTAACAATTCCAATGATGTTCAAAGACTCATCCATATAATCTTTTAACATCCTCATGTTCCTCCTCTCAACTGACCCAAGACTGTCCTTCTCTTCAATAAGCTCCACGCTATCACGAACATGCTGAAATAGAGTGGTTCTGGATTAAAACTTAATGCGGTGTTCCTCTGTGACGGCGATAAAGTTCTTGAAAAGTTAGTGGACATCGGTGAAAAAATTAGGGTGAGTTTCACCAAATTAATGCTAAATACGTCTGGACTACAACAGTCAATGAACCGATACTATTAAGAAAAAAAAACCTGTACTTGTTTAACAAATCATATGATACGGTCTACACAGTTTCTAAAAAGGCTGTACGGAATAACTTTCAATCTTTATACAGCCTTTCTTTTTTGTTAATCTTTTTTCGAGTGAAAAATCAGTGCACTGATAAAGTGTTACTGATGTTTTGACAGTTTCTGGTTTGGTGAGGCAGAAATATGCACAATCATAAGAAGAAAGACGATCTGATAAAAAGTTAAATAAAAATGTGCACTCATCGAACATTTTGGAAACTCAAAAAAAAGCTACGAACACCAAATCCAAAGGAAAATAAATGAGGGAACTTTCAATGACAATTCTTACTTTGTAATTTTCAATTTCTGTGAAAAAAAATAAAAAATAAAAAAATAAAAGTTAGTCTTACTCTCCAAACAATACAGTGCGAGAAGTATTCAAATATGATAACTAAAAGAGCAAGGATTCTGTGTGATCATTCTTCAACTTACATATAAAAGTTTGTCAAACGCTTCCAAAATCTCCATCAAAGAATCAACTTTTTCTAGAGCGGAATCAATAAGAGCGATAAGGTCATTAACAGCATTTTCACTGTCCATTATAGATTGTATATTGGCGCCATCTAATGACTGCAACTGTTCACCCAACAAAAGAGCAAATTTGTCCGTTTCTCCAACTGTTAAGTTTGCTCGAGCTAATAATCGACGAAAATCTGCTTCTTCTTTCACAGAAATCGGCTAAATAACAACTTTGAGGCAAACCAAACTAAGTTCGAGGATAAGAGGAGCTCCAAAGATATTCACACCTGGTAATCAGCCAAATTATCCTCTGCAGCTTCATCGCTATGTTCAACTACTACGGAAGAACTAGGTGTGTCCACCGGGATAGGGACATTTACAAAATCAGGTTTTTGAACAGGAAGATATTTAGAAGCAAACTGAAAAAGAGTCGCGCATGCACTTCGTAATAGAAATAAAAACAACTAGCCTACCTTATAAAGTTGTTTAATAAAAGCATCCTTCTCTTCGGCAGATGACGTGCATAGTTTGTAACATCTTTCTTCAACAGTAACTTCAAATTCTGGTGTTAACTAGAAAATACCAAGCTACTCAAAGGTGTTACGAAATGAAACCAACCCCAATGTAGAGAACCATGCAAGTATATATTTAGATAGAAGTTGAGGTGTGAGAAAAACAAAAAAAATTAAATCTCTTGCTAAGAAAATTCACCTTTCTTGGATTGATACCGTCAATAACCTTAACATCTCTTAAACTGAAGCATTCTTTCTTCTTAAAACAATCATCTTTTTCTTTCTTCACAAAGTAAAGCCGAACAGATATCGGCTGATCAATGGTCACTGAAAAACTTTCAATTCGTGAAGACCCAGAATTATTCATATGTAATTCGTTTTAAGCCTATACTTTAAAAATAAAGACCCACTAAATTATGAGGCGAAAAAAGCAGAATAAATCTAGATCAGCTCTAGAGCAATACAAAAAGCAGAAATTTCAAAATATAACCGCACAACAGGCGCTGGTATAATTTATGACACATGACTAAAAACCTACATCCTCCATATAATTTTTTTAATAAAGTTATCAAATCCACACTGCTCGCCCTAGGTTCTTCCAAAATGGACACTTCCACCCTTCTTTTCAAGGCATCAATCTTGTAGTTTGCCTAACTCATCACTTATACGTCCGTCATACTCTATTCCAAATAAAGGTATGTATATACTACTATTCCAGCTCCCATGATTTGGAAATACAGATAGTCTAAATCTGCTAACAGGCAAATATATTAATTTATTACTTCTCTATCACCCTTTAGCCAACCTAA